TTTCCCTGTATGTCCATGCTTAAACATCTGGAAGGTGGATAAATATAACATCAGAGACCAATAATAAATAAATCAAGAATAAGAATGAGTGACTCAAATATATGTGAAAATCGACCTTGGCCTTCGTCAAATCCAGGAAGTTTTGTTCAAACCTTGTATTTGTATTAAAAAATCTAATAAATATATACAAATTATTAATTTAAAACCCATTAACTTAAAAAGACTATACTCCCGAACCCATAAGGTTCAAATCCTATCTCCGCCTCTAATTAGTTTTACAACGATATTTTTTTCTTATTCACCAAACAGTGTTTTAGTTTATGCAAAGTTCTATGGTAGGATTTATTATTCATGTTTTCGTTGAGCCGAAGGTCTATCAGAAATAACTTCTTTATCTTTACGAGGTAGGAGTAAAATTTGTGTATACAATACCCTCCCCAACCTCTCTATATTCACAAGGTAGGGATAAGGTCTGCGCATACTCTACCCTCCCCAGACCCCATTTGTGATTACACTGAGTTTATTGCGGTTGGATTCATTATTCCTATATCATCAACCAAATGAACGCTTGGTGTATAAAGTACAAACTAACTGCTTTTACAAAATAGAGAGAACAGGCCAGCAATATCGCTGCTGGACAATCCTCTTTGATCTCTTGTTGGGTCAATAATTTGTACACAAATGTAAGCTTGTGAAACTTGGGAAATATATTTGCTTTTGTTGCTCTAATCTGAATCACAGACAATTAACAGTAAAAAACCAAGCATAATATCATGTGCGTAATCAAATCAAACATTTACACAAATCCATAAGCATATTCAAACAGCCAGAATTCGCAGGGGAACAAAAATTCCCACCAGAACGAAAGTATATTAGTACCAGGAACAAAGTATTTACAGTGCCATATATCGAGAACAGAGAATTCCCATCGAGGGAAATGGAATGATGGAATAAAAGAGTTTCCGCCATTAATTTCAGCCCTTTCCTATCAGACTCACTCTCCGAAACTTTACAGTACATCTCATAGTCATCGTACACCAGACAAAAAGAGGGAAAATCTATAATGGAACTAGTTGAGTGCTACAAATCGATTAGGGTGACATTCTTAACTGGATTTAAGGGCCCATAAATACATCCTCTAAACTCTTTACCTGGCTTTATATGCATACATATATCCTCTAAGTTTCCGTACTTCTTCAGATGACACATTTAGTAAATGGTCTATGTAAATGCAGATTCCAGCTCCACTGCAATTTCAAAGTTCGATGACAGTTTTTCAGCAGAAGGCATAATTAAGAATGTGGAAACAGTCAAAAGCAGGCTTACCTAAGGGGCCCTACAGGTAGCCACAAAATATCCCATCTAAATTTTGCCAACCTGCAAAAGACATGCACGATGTAGGTCAAACCAACAGATTTATAGGGCCTAAGGGTCCAAATTGATCAATGCAAAGCAAAGACACACGTATCACGTAGGTGTAAACATGTAGAGAAAGGAGAGAGGGCAGCTGAATAAAGGTGTTGATCAATTTAGTATATGGATATGCCAAAGGTGATACTATATAAGGCCTATCAACGACCACAGAAAATATGATGGCAGTTTCTACCAAATGTATTGGATTCATTGTCAATAAAAGGAAAAGATCATCAGTAGAAAAAGAAACTGCAAATATTAAACTCTAGTGGCAAGGGACTACCCACGATGGTCGGAGCTCATTTATAAGAAACCAATAGGCAAAATTAAAGTCTGAATTTGGTTACTCCTTCAATTTCAGTTGTTTAGGTAGTTTAATATCCCAAAAGTGGCTATTGAGTATAACAAGAAGTAAAATAAAACCTTGCTGTGATAAGCAGCTCACCTTAGCATGTGATTCAGCCAAAACACTGCTACAATCATGCCAATGCAGCATGAAGACCATAGCCACCTCCTATGATATTTCGATTCATGCAGTAAGCCCTTTATGGTCATTAAGCACGTCAAAATAGCTGCCCAATCTGAGAATTTCTCAAGCAAATGCCAACAATTAGGACATAAAGTATGAAACAATTGTTCCTCATTTGATTAATGATAGCACATGATTTCCAGCAAATTCAAGACTGAAAATAATTCCATAAGGGGTCGTCTGGTACGCGGGATAAGGCGGAATAAAGTGTAGTATTAAGTTTATGCTAAGTTTGGTTGATGATATTTATCCCGGGATAAATTTATACCGTCAACCAAACATAGTATTAACTTAGTCCCAGATTTGAATATCCCATCTTATCCCACCTTATCTCATCAAACTTGGTATTATTTTTATCCCACCTCCCAGGTGGGATAAATTAGTCTAGGAATTATAATTCCTATGCTATAATCCTGGGATAATTTAGTTCGCATACCAAACGACCCCTAAAGATCATTGCCTATATAATCATCTAAGAAGACATCTAGTACTCGGAACAACTAACTTTCAATTGTAGAAAATTATCAAATGCTAGCCTGCTTAAATGCTTTTTGCCCCTAAACAAGAAATAATTCTAACATTTACCAGTACCTTATTTGTGGTACAGAATAAGTCAATTCCCTCTTTCTTTGATTATCTTCTTTTTTTTTCCTTTATCTACTTTCAGAGGGTAAAAGATGGTCAACAGAAGTTTCCAGCAGTGCTAGAAAATCTTCAAAGGTTGTAAGCCCCTCCAAAGGATGGAGGGACCATAACCATGCAAGAGATATGTTACTTGTTGAGCAAGCTTATAACAATGCTCACTTTGCGTTTATTCTCCAATTTATCCTGAAGAACTATCATAACCAATATAGTGACTAAATACTTACTCCCTCCGTTTCATATCATATGACAGTATTTAAGATATTAGTTTGACCTGTATATCACAATAGTGATGGTAGTATGGTACAATTAAAATATTAAACTAATGGTTGAAAAGTCAGTTTGATAGAGGAACATCATATCAAACTTTAAAAGCTGAGCAATTTAATGTTTAAATTCTTGAAAGTTGTGAAAGCTCTTTAAAAATGAAATGATGTCAAAGACAAACATTTTGGGAAGTTTTAAAATAGAAAGATCGTCATCGTCATATAAATTGTAATGTCGGGAGTCTCGTCTTTCCAGAAATTATTGAAGTGATTTAACTGAGCCTGTAAGCTTGTAGGTAAATGAACTATGAGATGAAAATAACACAAAGGGTGTCTATTGTTGTCAACCTTTACTATGGGCCACATTATGTTGCATCCACCAATAACCCTCTGAATTTTACCATTGACATAATAAAGCTAAAAGCATCATAAAACTTGTCTTTCTAGAAATAAAGGAATCAAACTGCAGGAAATATGAAGTGGTAGGGCATGACCAGAAAGGTACTATGTTCAGAGAGAGATTTTTTAAGCACTGAATAAGCTGCAATGCCAATGAAAGCACGAAAGTAGTAAAGGGACAAACCTGCAGCAATGATGGTCCATGAGTCAACTTCATACATGAAGTAAGCATGATATCGCTGTTAACCATATTAAAATACTGAAATCAACAACAGCATTAAGGGGGAAAATATTGTGAGTATAATAGATATTTCGCATAATTTGCACTCTATTTAAGATTTACAATCACTTCTTCAGTGGAAAGTACCTGCTGCCATCAAATTAGCTGTCTTTAATGTAAAGAGTGAATGTCTTCTACATATTTTGCATTAGTATTGAGGAAGTAGCAAAAGATCGACATATCATTGATGCTTATAGAGCATATTTATTACACTCGACATATAAACCACAAACACACACTGCAAAGTGAGAAAATCAAGAATAAAACATGGTATTTATCATTGTTTTCCATCATTTTCCTAGCATAATATAACTCCTAAGTTTCCTGCATAAGCTTATCCAACTATCTAACATTCACTTCTCTTCCTAAAAGTTTGTCCGGTGCTAGTGTGACCAATATTCAGATAACGCTTCTGTAGGGTACTCCAACAAATTCCAATATCAAGGAAATAAGAGAAAGACTCAAATCAAGGTAAATTGTGAGTTTGATATATAAAATCCATGTTTCAGCTTCTTTGATTGAGGACATGCTTGATTATCAGATGCCATCCTCAAATTTCATGATATTTAACACTTAAACCTCGTAATTGAGGAATAATTATAATGTGAAATTGATGTTACCGATATGGAACACCAAAAAGGTAGTTTGTACCGCTCTCTTCTCATGATACAGATGAGATGGAGAACAGAAGTCCATGAAATGGTGCTCTTTAAGAAGTTCTCTTATTATTTCTTCTTCCAGATGATACTCTTCTTTCTCGTCACACATAAATCAATGACTGGATGCTGCTGATTCATACAATAATGTGTCTTATTCATCAGTCAAATTTTTCCATACAGTTGACTGCTTTACCAGCAGCTCTTGTCCTAAAGATAATTTTTTCCTGCGTGTTGAATTGGCATCTTAGTTTTTATGATTCTTAAGTTTCTAGTGATTGTACGCTTGCTTGGATGGCTGCATTCAGATTCCTAAACTACTTGAACATGAAGAATTCCTACTTTATTATAATGCTAGGTTTGTAATTTCAGTCATCTGTTTCCAGCCTGAGGTCCTCCCTTACCTTTTCTCCCGGGGTAGTGGGAGAGGTGATACTGGAGGGAACTGATAAGCTAATAAAGCTTCTATTGAGAGTTGAAAAGTTAAAACAAAACTTGTTACTTTAGCCTGATAACCATAATCAATGATTCAATATGAAAAGTCTAGTATATGGATACAATGAAGGTGCAGAACCTTATCGAGAAAGAAAGAAAAACAAAATAGATAGGCTGTGTAGAAGTTCAAACTTCAAAATGGTACTATTTCTCCTCTCATCATTCTGAACTCCACTTTGTGCCATACAAGATGGAAGGATAAGACCAAAATCTTTTCTCATGAATTCTTTGCTAGCAAATCCTACTGGCAGAACTTAGATGAGCCCAAGTGAAACCTCCTTTACCTCAGAGAGAAAAAGTGCCAGTTCCCTAAGCTTAATTTAGTTTCTCACGTGAATCTATGCTCCGTAGGCTTGATCTCAGGGCACCAGCTACATGAATGGGACATACAAATGATTGGTAAAGACGAGAAACTGTGATAGTTCATGCCTCTGTCATACGGCACTGATGAGCACTCTTTCCATTCAAATTATCTTTAATGTCACCAAAGAATGCTCCTTGTTTGGTATGGCGGTAAATATTTAACAACTAATATATTTCGTTTGGCTACGACATATCACTTGCTTCAACCAACATTTACTAAAAAAAAGTTGATCTTTAATGTTGAAAATGTCACTGAAACACGATTCTCAAACCCTAGAATCCACTTCATATAATTGTCTTATGTCACCTACCCAACCAAACACTGAAAAATAGCCCAAAAAATTGGTTTCCCAATCTAAACTTTAAAAAAATAAATACGAGTTCACAATGTAAAATATTTTCAGCAGAAAACATTTTACCCTATAGATGATAACAAGCTTGTCCACCTTCGCCAATTTAACTTTCAACAACCTGCCTTAACAAGAGCCCAGGAACATCCTCATGGATGTGCATGAGATAGATGATGAATGTAAGGAAATCAACTTTGGTGTCCCAAAATTTATTGTAAGAAACTAAATGATTAAAACCACTTATTTCTTTCCTTTGTGCTGGGATAATAAATAATTTTGTTTTTCTTTTTTTAAATAATGGTAGTGTTTACGCCAATGGCGAAGCTAAGTATGTTTAAAGGTGGTTCAATTGAACGCCCTTCATCGAGGGTAAAAAAACAAACTTTTTTGTATACATGTGAATTGTTGAATCCCCTTTATAGTTAAGTGCATTAACTTCAATTGCAAGTTAGCCATTTTTGAATCCCTTATTAAAATTTTGGCTCCTTTCACTGTTCCACTGGGTATTTGCTACTTTCAACCAGTGATGGTAACTCTTGGTTTTCTTTTGCATCTTCTTGCATAATGCATACTATTAACCAGATACAAAGTCAAAATAAATTTATACAAGGAGCAGAGGAATACCAATTCCCAGGGATAATATGCCTGTTGATAGATTGAGTATATTAGAAAAGCCACATAACACAAAAGTAGGCCCGAGAACACACCCTGCATGACACGAACACACATAAATAAACACAAGCTAACAAGTAAATGGTTACCAAATTTTGTAAAGTAATACACGTACCCTCCAGAGAAGAGATTGCTGAGTTTGAACTTTCTCGAGAGATCGAACTAACTCTTCTTGTTCTGCAAATTCAAAATTGAACAAATTTAAAACCCTAAATTTTAGTAATATTGAGGAGTTTACAACAATGATTAGAAAGAAGCCATGTATGATGACCTTGGGTATCAATGGGACGACCATCGTCGCGAGTTGGTAAAGAGAATTTATCGTCCTCGTCGTACTGAGATTCTCGTCGAGAATTTCTCCATTTTCTCGTTAGCTTCTGCATCACCATCATTATCATCCTCCTCGGAAATGCCTTCCACTTTTACGACTTTGAGCAAAGCTTCTCTGCTCCCTGCAACGACGTCGTTCCGCGAATGGAGTAGCGTGCTGCTAAATTTGCCAACTGGGTCGGCCCGGCCAGGATCCTGCCTCTTTTGAAAGGAAAAAAAAACACTATTTATATTTGATTCCTTTAAGAAAATTATTGAGAAAATAGCCTCGAATTAAAATTTTAAAACATACTGGTCAGAAATTTAAAGCACCGAACATCTTGATGATCACCTAAATTATGGCAATCGTTAAAATTGTGACGAAATACCATAAGATTTGCCCAAGAATTATGGATCAATGTGCTTTAAAAAACTGATCCGAGACTGTTTTTCCAAGTTTTTTTTTATCCGGGTGAAAATTCAAACGTTGGAACCAAACAATCCTATTTATGGGCCTCATGTATTGGGAAAAATTGCATTTATATATGTAAGTGACATGTTGAGACACGTGGACTGGTCAAATAGTCAAAGAATTATAATTAGTCAAGAGGCACGGGCAGCAATAGAAACGAGCAAAGGCAAAGGAAGAGGCACGGGAGAACATTCGAAGGATTCAGCGCCCGCACCTATTTAAGTCATTTATCAAAAGAAATGGATCTGGCCATAATAAAGAGCGCAAATACGGAATTCGACAGACATTAAATACTGGATACGTTAGAGAATTTGTATTGATTACAATGATTGTGTAACGTAGCATTTAATACCTTTAATTATTCATAATAGTCTCATTATGATTTGGGGAAAACGCATATCTTCAAGATACCTATAAAAGGGAGGTATCTGGTCACCTGTAAACACAAGATACAATTGGAATATACTTTGATTCACTTGTTTTTCTCCTGATTACACTCTGGTTACCCCAAATTACTTTCTTCTACATATTCTTTTGATTATCAGTAACCCGCGTTCTTCTAAATTCTAGCTTTGACTAAAATTCTATTTTTTGGTTAAACAAATTGGTTCCGTTACCGGAAATCTGATAATCTATTTTCTTTTCACTTGACCTTCCTTGTTACATCAATTATGTCGAATAACAATGACAACACCCCAGGAAACCAAGAGAACCAACAAAGTCAGGGAGGCCCACAGAATATTAACATTCAAGTTCCAACTCCGCAGGACTCTCCACGGCAATCTCGTGAGGGTACTCCTGATGGATCTCAAATAAACGAGTATGCTCAATTTGAAAATGCTGAAGCTGTTGATGAAGCTTTGCAGAAATTAATTACTGCTCAGGTCAACAAAGCTGTTGAGGCGCTTGTTAACCAGTTACCTGTTGCAACACCCATACCTACTCCAAATAATAACACTATAGAAAACCTTCGTTCCGGGCTTGTTAACTCAGGCAGCGGTGGAACTCCCAGTAAACAGCAGGAGAGAGAACCAAGTAATGTAATTAATTCTGATTTACAAAATTTAGTACTAACCTTGTAGAAACAGCTCAAGGAGTAAAGTAAACGCATAGAGCAGATACCCGGGGTGCTGCCCATAATCAAAGGGGTAGACATGGACAGATATTCGCAGCAACCCTGGAAGCCAAGTGCTGCCCCACTCCCAATTCCAAAAAAGTTCAAAATGCCTGATATTCCAAAGTATGATAGAGCAACAGACCCACGAGACCACATGACTGCATTCACAACGGGCGTAAAAGGCAATGATTTGACTAAGCAGGAGATTGAATCGGTATTAGTCAAGAAATTTGGTGAAACACTCACCAAAGGAGCACTAACATGGTATTCCCTTTTACCTGAAAATTCTATAAATTCTTTTGCTGAGCTTGCAGATTCTTTCATCAAAGCACACTCGAGAGCCCAAAAAGTGGAAAAAAGAATGGAGGATATTTTCAAAATCAAGCAAGGAGATTCAGAATTGCTTAGAGAATTCGTGGACAGATTTCAAAGTGAAAGAATGACATTGCCACGTGTACCTGATAACTGGGAAGCTATAGATTTTACAAGCAATTTGAATGGAAAAAACTCGGAAGCTACGAGGAGACTCAAGGAAAGCCTTCGAGAATTCCCAGCTACAACGTGGAATGATGTTTATAACAGGTATAACACGAAGTTGAGGATTGAGGAAGATACTGTTCCACGATCTCAAAAAGAAGAAAGTATACGTTCAAGACGTGCAGAGACCGAAAAAAGATCCGGTAAAAACAGGTACGAGCCTTATATGGGACATGCGAGAAAAGACTCACGGTCAAAACAGGATAATCAAAGGCACGATCACAAATCAAAAAACAGAGAATCAAGTTCTTCATCAAGATTTAGGAACGAGTGAAACAACTATGAGTCACGGGATGATGATAGAAATTTAAAAGCGAGATTCGGATGTTACAACTTCAACGTCAGCACCTCCGAGCTCGTAGCTGTTTTGAAAAGAATGGGAGATAAGGTTCGATGGCCAAAGGAAATGAGATCGAATCCAAACAGGCACAACCCTGACCATTGGTGCGAGTTCCATAATGACCACGGGCATAAAACAGCAGATTGCAGATTTTTACAAAGTGAAGTTGATCATTTATTAAAACAAGGATATCTTACTGAGTTGTTCAGCGAGAAAGGCAAGCAAGCTTACATGAAGAACAGGCAGGAGCCTCCGAAACCACCTTCTCCCAAAAGAACTGTTAACGTTATAAGTGGGGGTGAAGACATCAATGGTGTGTCATATACTGCAGCTAACAAAACTTCCAAAGTAACTATTACCCAAGGGAAACGGGTGCGGCATGTTTTAGAAGAAGGCAATATTACATTCAATGATGCAGATACATATGACGTATTAACCCCTCATAACGATGCACTGGTAATATCTTTAATTGTGCATGATACTAATGTGAAACGAGTTTTGATTGATCTAGGTAGTTATATTATTTTGCTAAGAGTGCTACGTGAGATGCAAGCTGAAGATAGAGTAATACCAAAGGCGCATACTCTATCTGGATTTGATAATTCCAGTGTCGTCACGAAAGGAGAGGCAACACTCACCACTTTTGCTGAAGGGGTCATCAAAGATATAAAGTTCCAGGTAGTAGACATGGAGATGGCTTATAACATGATTCTGGGGAGACCATGGATCCATGAAATGGATGTTGTTCCTTCAACCTTGCATCAAGTTATCAAATTTCCATCGCCATGGGGAATCTGTCAAATTCGCGGAGATCAACATACATCCAGGACTATTAACTCCGTTGCAGATACAAGCACGAGAAGTGAAGGCAAATAGCAATCACAGAAGGCAGTTGGGGAAATCACAACACAAACCTCAACTAAACAAGGGCGAACAAATGTAGACTCAATGCCTGATACCATTCAAGAACCAGAAGAGAATGAAAATATCAAAACAACGATAGATGAATTAGAACCTGTCGTGTTATTCGCTCAATGGCCTGATAAAAAAGTCTATGTCGGAGCTAATCTTGACCAAGGAATGAAAGGTAAGTTAATTGAATTTTTGAAAACTAACATGGACTGCTTTGCTTGGTCCCACTCCGACATGACAGGAATACCACCGGAGGTGATGACTCATAAACTAAATGAAGATCCGTCATATCCTCATGTGAAGCAAAAGAAAAGAAAGCAGGGAACTTTCAAGAATCAGGTGATTCAAGAAGAAGTCCAAAAATTGCTAAAAATTGGTTCCATTCGAGAGGTAAAGTATCCTAACTGGTTAGCCAATACTGTTGTGGTTCCAAAGAAAAATGGTAAGTGACGGGTTTGTGTAGATTATACAGATCTTAACAAAGTCTGCCCTAAAGATTCTTTTCCACTACCACACATAGATCAATTGATTGATGCAACTGCAGGTCACGAATTATTAAGTTTTTTAGATGCATATTCAGGTTATAATCAGATTAAAATGGATCCGGGAGATGAAGAAAAAACTTCATTCATAACAGACAAGGGGACTTGCTGTTATAAAGTAATGCCCTTTGGTCTAAAGAATGCAGGTGCAACGTATCAGAGAATATGAGGCTATGATTGCAGGTTTAGAACTGGCACGGGAACTTGGTATAAATCAGATTATAATCAAGAGTGATTCACAACTCGTAGTTAATCAAATGCTGGGGACTTATACATCCAGGGAAGCAAGGATGTAGCAGTACTTGGAAAAGGTACGGGAATTGATAAAACAATTTCAAGATTGGAAAGTTAGACAAATACCCAGGGATGAAAATCTTGAAGCAGACGCCCTATTTAATCTCGCATCTGCGGCCGACGTGGCAAACGATGCAAATGCCTCAATGATACATTTATTTCATTCAGTTCTTAATCCTGATGCGAATGAGGTAAATTTTAATAACTTAACCTGGGATTGGAGGAACGAAATTATTGCTTTTTTGCAGTATGGAACCGTCCCTGATGACAAGAAAAAGGCTTATGCGCTTCGAAAACAGGCCGCTCGGTACCGCTTAAAACAAGGCAATCTATATCGTAAAATGTTCGGTGGTCCCTTAGCAAGATGTCTTGGACCTTCGCAAATAGAGTATGTAATAAGAGAAATACACGAGGGTCATTGCGGGAATCACGCAGGTGGAAGATCACTAGTAAGAACCTTAATTAGGGCAGGTTATTACTGGACTAAAATGGAAGATGAGGCAGAAAGTTTCATGGCCAAATGTGATAAATGCCAGAGGTACGGTAACAATATGCATAGACCTGCGGAATTATTACATCCGGTCATTGCGCCATGGCCATTTATGAAATGGGGAATGGATATCGTAGGTCCATTACCGCAAGTAAAAGGACAGGTAAAGTTTTTGCTTGTTCTCACTGATTATTTTACTAAATGGGTATAGGCAGGTGCATTCAAACAGGTGAGAGAAAAGGAAGTCAGAGACTTTATTTGGCGGAATATCATATGTCGATTCGGCGTACCAAAGGAGATCGTATATGATAATGGTCCTCAGTTTATTGGAGCTCAAATCACGGAATTTTTTCAAAACTGGCAAATTAAAAGGATTACGTCAACACCCTATCATCCGGTGGGTAATGGACAGGCAGAATCAACGAACAAAGTCATTATCAACAATTTAAAGAAACGACTAGAGGAATCAAAAGGAAACTGGCCTGAAGTGTTACCTGGAGTTTTATGGGCATATCGCACAACTGCAAAAACAAGTACAGGAGAAACACCGTTCTCATTGGTTTATGGAGCTGAGGCTTTAATTCCAGTTGAGATAGGGGAACCAAGTACACGGTTCACACAGGCGACACAAGAATCTAATGACGAGGAGATGCGGGTCAACCTAAATTTACTCGAGGGGCGGAGAGAAGCTGCTTTAATAAGAATGACAACACAA